TCAAAGCCAGAAAGCAATCAACCGAGCAAGCTAAAATGAATCACAGAAGTTCCTCGACTCGAAAAAGAACTGTAGATAGAATGATCTGTCTCAGCTTAAAGAAAATTACATCATTCTAGTCATGATTCTCTCACTAGAATGTCACTTATATGGCATTTTTTAAGCATCGGGTTGCGTTAAAGTAATCTCATTAAGGGACTAAGACCCATAAAAGAAGTCTCGATTATAAGACCTAATTCGATTTTTCGTGCGATATCTCCTAGCTAAAGGCCTATCTCTCATTTTGAGTTATACGTCGACGAATTCAATGGAGTCAATTATATTGATCCTTCTACTGTGAAAAAATATGTTAGACATGCTCAATTGAGTAAATTTTTTTAAAATTAAATCGGGCTATTTTAAAATCTGTCGAGGAAAACAAATTAAGCCAATGATTTTTGTTTTTTTTTTTTGAATTTTGGATCTACTACTAGGAACTTAATGCCTAATTTCATGATTCAAATTCCCTAAATATTGAATGAGATGACGAGCAAGGCACCTACTATCGCAGCTACAATTGCTAACTCCTCGAACTCAGTAATCAATGAAAAGGATATACCTATCTCAATGATCTATAATGAAATATGAATAACTCCCGATTTTTAGTTCTTAATCATCCTGTAGGAGAGATGGCCTTTCTTGCGATTATGAAATTTATTCGAATATGAAATTCAATCTTAAAAGTATAGCATCCTGTTGTATTTTACTATCCAATGGATTTTCTGAATACTTTTGAAGAGATTTAAGATAGATACGATTATCGAGATTGCATTTTTACCTCACTTAATTATCGGGAATGATTTTTATTTTTATTTTTTTGTATTTGTTTGCTTTATTTTCGTATTTATGTGGATGACAGAAACAATTTCCATTTATTTTCAATCTTTTTCACTTTTTCTAGCACAGTATAATGAAAACATAATCCTTTTAAATAAAATGTTGACAATTACATTTTTTTTTTGTTATAATTGTTATTTTTTGGGGGGAGAATTGCAATTGGGATTTCTAACACAAACATTTCATTTTGACACCCACAATTCCAAATCTTTCATTTCACTTGTAACCGGAGGACATTCGTCCATTCGATCGTTAATCAACCAAAAAAATCAATTTAACCACATTTTGATTAATTTTAAAAAGCAAAAGTCAATTTGACCATATTTTGATTAATTTCAAAGGGGCAAAATTGTAATTTTTTAATTTTAAATAAAATGATACAAAAAAGATTGAGAACTTTTCATCTTCTTCCCTACCTACCACACCACACCACACCCACAACGTTCAACTGAACTAAAATCCATCTAAGTCCGTTACAGCGAACCTCTCCCTCGCCCTCGCCCTCGCCCTCGTCGTCAACCAAACCAAATCACAATCTACTCACCCCTACCGTGCCAACGACCACCCACATGTCGCATCGCAATTGCCACAAGTGCCACTGCAAATATAAAATTACAATTTTGCCCGCCTTTTAAATTAATCAAAATGTGGTCAAATTGATTTTTTTAGATTGACTAATAGTCAAATGGACGATGTTGTCCATATGTCCTCCAGCTACAATCAAAATGAAGAGTTTGGGTATAGTATACAACAATATGAAAGGTTTGTGACCTAGTAGTAATTATCCCTCTATT